GTTTGTGAATTATTTTGATTATTATGTATATTAGGGAAATATCACCCTGTTCTAACTGCTCTCTTACACTCGGAGTGATTAATTATATGTTGGAAAAAGCTTAAAATTCGAAAGCCATAAAATTAAATTTTTTTTTTACATTTCTTAAATGTAATTTCTATGTTTAAATATATGAAATTCATATGCAGTTTGATTTTACCAGCAAATTCCCGTGCAAGGTGCTAAAATTGTCTAACAAGCGAATTGTGTTCAACTTTTATTAAAATAAGAGAGTGGTCTAGAGGTTCCCCGATCATTGGTAATTTTTGTTCAGAATTTTAAAGATCGAAAAACAATATGAAAAAGAAGATTTTATTAAAAATATCTGTACCGTTTACTTCCTTATATTTTATTAATTAGTTGATATTAAATTTGTTAAATTTCATATTGATGTATATGCAAGTGAAAACATGAAAATGTGGTTTAAAGTAGCCCCAATTGATGATAATACACGCAAAATTTGTTTCAAATTTTTTTTTACATTTTTATTTTCAATTGCAGAAATTGACAAACTCTTCACAAGCAGAATATATGCAAATGAAATGCAATATTCAAATTAAATATTGGTATTTCTTTTTTAAATAAAATTATACTAAACCACTCATACGATGTTCATATATTACTGATAAGTTTTCATATTTATTTTCAGTTTTTAAGAATAAATCAAATGAAAATAGTATATTGCTAGAAATCTGTATTAAATAAAAGATGTTAGCTTAATGTTACACTAATTAAAGGATTCATTCAGTAAAAGTAAAGTTAAAGTAATATAAAAAGCAAAATTACTTCTCATTACTTTTCATAAATATTAGAGTCGTTGTATTTATTATAGAATGTTTACATAAAACTTATTATGGATCACTCAAACATTTTAATATCATAAATGTTTTATTTGTTTATTATTTTCTTCCATTTAGATGCGTGCGAGCGAGTCAATTGAAGTCACGATTCAGCAGCCTATCAGGTTCGACAAACACGCATAATTAAATATTATCCAAAAATTGATTCAGAGTGGTAATAAAGAAAGCCAAATATCCCTAATGCTAACACAACACGCACAACCACGTGATTAGATATGACAATGTGATTTCAGCAGTAATCTTCCTTTCGAATTGCAAGTATCCTATCACAGAATAATCGCCATTTTGAAATGAAATCGAGACAATACCTTTGCTAAGACCAAGTAATATTCAGTTTATTTTCTGGGGTTACGTAAGAAATTTACGTTTATAAATTATATGATTTTAAAACAGGAAAATTTACCATTAGAGATATAAAAAGTGTTTTTTTTTTTTTTTTTTTTTTTTTTTTTTTTTAAATATCATAAAAAAACAATAAAGAAACTGGATAAATTCATTTTCTATATTTCAAAACTGGATGCAACAGTGATAAAACGCAAGAATTGATGGCTTTTTTTTCAAGATTTTTTTTAAAATTTACTATTACATTATATGCTTTTGGTTCTTTTATTACCATGTTTATAAAAGAAAAAAAGACAGAAAGCAAAATAAAAAAAAGGAAAAATATTTGGTGAAACGTTCGGCAAAATATCAATTTATATTATTAATTATTTTAATTCATGGTTTAAAAATTCGTTATTCTGAGTTGAAAATTAATTATCTTTATTGTTTTTCTATAAATTATTTATATTCATACTGTAAAAAATTGAAAACTAAAAATAATGAAAACTTTAAAATTAATTAATTTAAAGCTAGATAACATTTTAGAAAAAACTTACACAATGCACTATATTTTTAAAAAAAAACCTATTTTATTCAAATGCCCACATTCTTTTGTTGCATTTGTTTTAAAAATAAAATGTATTCACGAAATTCTTTGGATATATTATTCATTATTTAATTTCATTAAAACAGCGATGGAACTTTATTTTCATTGCCTGAAATATTTCCGAAGGAATACTTTAGATGCAAAGGAAATCAATGAAACATTTTTAAAGCTTGGGACATCTAGGTGAGAACCGATTTTTAATATATATATTTTTTTTTACCGATATCTTGAAAGGTTAGTGACCGGATGTGATTGCATGGAAGTAAAGACATATTTTATTATTTTTGTTTTTTGCAAATGCAAACTTAATTATGAATGATTAAATTCGTTTTTTTTTCAAGAAAAATAACTAGTGTGCGACTTTTTCTGAATCTTACTTGTGGGATTTTAGTTTAAGCAACTAACCATTTTATTTCGTATACGAATAACAAATATGCTTGTGTGCAATATCTTTTTTAATTTACAGGAAGATATTTAATTTAGTCTGAACATATTTTAAAATGATAGGAATTAATAAAATATGCTTTAAATTGAAAAAAAAACAACATTTTTTATAAATTTGTCTATTGATGTTAAAGGTTTTAGAAAGAATTTTGTTTTTAAATTTTTTTCGTTGCTGTTATTAAAATTTTCTATACCCTCAAAAAATTATTATTTTTTTTACGAATGTAAAATTTCCAGATACATGGTGTGTCATGATTACCACCCTTAATATATATTTTTAGATTCCTGGATCGTAAATTAATATTTAGGTGAAGAAACAGAAAAAAACTTCAGCACAGTTTGGCAAAAGAATTCAAAACCAGTGTGATTGCTTGATCATGGAGAGAAAAATTCTGATTAAGTTAACGCACTGTATAGTAATGGAGTTTGTGGTAAAGAAACCATAATTTTGGTTAATAAAACTGATATATACGGTATTTAAAGCATTATTTTGGTAATATTTCCGTTCATATTGTAACGGTTTATCGAAAAAAATTTTTTTTTTCAAAATTAAAGTTCTTATTACTACACATTTAGTAAGAAAAAAAAATTTAAAAGCGAAATTTAATCGAAAAAACGATTTATATGCCATACTCTAAGGCATAGGTCGCCAAAGTGGTCTATATAGACCCCCAGGGGTCTATTTAACAAAAGCGGGGGTCGATCTGAGCCAGGGGGTCGAATGGGGGTCGATCCGAATCTGAAGGGTCGATTGGGGGTTGAAGAAAAAACAGTTCCTTATACACAAATCACACTTACCTAATTATAAGTATGTAAAATTTGTGAATTTCTTTATAATTGACTTAATATCAGTTTCTTCATAAAACATAAATTAATAAACGTATATTTATTTGGGTGAAACAAGTATTTACGTACCAGCGCGCAGTGGGACGTACTCTGCACTTCTGGTTTATAAGTCATATGCATATGTGCGCTTGTCCAAATGTCACGTGTGACGAGCATTGACGTTACAAA